GACATAGCCAAGGGCAGTGTTAAGGGAGAAATTTATGGCACTAAATGCCCACATCAAAAAGTTAGAAAGATCTCAATTTAACAACATGACAATATGACTAAAAGAATTAGAGAACCAAAAGTAAACCAAGCCCAAAGTTAGCAGAAGACAATAACCAAAATCAGGGCTGCACTGAAGGAGTCTGAGACACAAGAAAACCCTTCAAAAAGATCAGTAAATCTAGGAGCTGGTGTTTTGAAAAAATTAATAAAACAGATAAACGGCCAGCTAGACTAATAAAGAAGAAAACTGAGAAGATCAAAATAAACTTAATCACAAATGAGAAGGGGGATATTACTACTGACCTCACAGAAATACAAATAACCATCAGAGAATATTATAAGCACCCCTATGCACAGAAACTAGGAAATCTAGAAGAAATGGATAAATTCTTGAACACATATACCCCCCCCCAAAACTGAACCAGGAAGAAACTGAATCCCCGAACAGACCAATAACAAGTTCTGGAATTGATTCAGTAATAAATAGCTGAAATTGATTACTGAATTTATCATCCTGATACCAAAACCTGGAAGAGACATAACAAAAAAGAAACTTCAAACTGATATCCTTGATGAACATTGATACAAAAATCCTCAACAAAATACTATCAAACTGAATCCAGCAGCACATCAAAAAGCTTACCCATTACCATCAGGTAGGCTTTATATCTGGGATGCAAGTTTGGTTCAACATATGCAAATCAATAAATATGATTCATCATATAAACAGAACTGAAGACAAAGACAACATGATTATCTCAATAGATGCAGAAAAGGCTTTCAATACAATTCCCCCTCCCTTAACATGTTAAAAACTCAATAAACTAAGTATTGAAGGAAGATAACTGAAAATAAGAGGCATCTATAACAAACCACAGCCAAAATCATACTCAATGGGCAAAAGCCAGAGGCATTCCCCTTGAAAACCAGCACAAGACAAGGATCCCCTCTCACTACTGTTATTTGGCATAGTATTGGAAGTTCTGGCAAGAGCAATCAGGCAAGAGAAAGAAATAAATCATATACAAATAAAAAGAGAGGAAGTCAAACTAACCCTGTTTACAGATAATATGATGCTATATCTAGAAAACCCAAAATTCTTGGCCCAAAAGTTTCCTAAGCTGATAAACAACCTCAATGAAGTCTTAGGATATAAAATCAATACGCAAAAATCACTAGCACTTCTATATAACACCAATCAAGCTGAGAGCCAAATCCCATTTACAATTTTCACACACACACACCCCTAGGAATACATAAACAAATGGAAAAATATTCCATGCTTATGGATAGGAAGAATATTATTAAAATGGCCATACTACCCAAAGCAATTTATAGATTTGATGCTATTCCTATTAAACTACCAATGACATTCTTCACACAGCTAGAAAAAACTATTTTAAAAATCCCTACGGAACCAAAAAGGAGTCCAAATAGCCAAGGTAATTCTAAACCAAAAGAACAAAGCTGGAGGCATCAATCATGCTACCTGACATCAAACTATAACACAGGGCTACCGTAACCAAAACAGGATGGTACTGGTACAAAAACAGACACATAGACCAATGAAACAGAATAGATAAGCCAGAAATAAGGCCATGCATCTACAATTATCTGATCTTTGACAAAATTGACAAAAACAAGCAATGGGGAAGACTCTCTATTCAATAAATGGTGCTGGGATAACTGGCTAGCCATGTGCAGAAGATTGAAACTGTACCCTTTCCTTATGCCGTATATAAAAATTAACTAAAGATGGATTAAAAACTTAAATATGAAACCCAAAACTATAAAAGTCCTGGAAGACACTCAAGGCAATACCATTCTGGACATAGGAATGGGCAAATATTTCATGATGAAGATGCCAAAAGCAATTGCAACAAAAGCAAAAGCTGACAATTGGGATCTAATTAAAGAGCCTCTGTATAGTGAGAGAAACTGTCAACAGAGTAAACAGAAAACCTACACAATGAGAGAAAATTTTTGCAAATTACATATCTCACAAAAGTCTAATATTTAGCATGTATAAGAAGCTTAAACAACTTTGTAAGAAAAAAAACTAACAACCCCATTTAAAAGTGGGGAAAGGACATAAACAGACACTTTTCAAAAGAAGACATACATGTGGCCAACAGTCATATAAAAAAAGTTCAGCATCATGAATCCTTAGAGAAATGCAAATCAAAACCACAATGAGACACCATCATCATTATTATCAAAAAGTAAAAAATAACACATGTTGACAAGGTTGCAGAGAAAAAGAACACTTACACACCATTGCGGGGAGTGTAAATTTGTTTGACCACCGTGGAAGACAGTGTGGCAATTCCTCAAAGACTTGAAAACAGAAATATCACTCAACCCAGCAATCCCATTACTGAGTATATATCCAAAATAATATAAATCATTCTATCATAAAGACACATACACATGTACGTGCACTGCAGCAATATTCACAATAGTAAAGACATGGAATCAACCTAAATGCCTATCAGTGGTAGTCTGGGTAAAGAAAATGTGGTACATATACATGATGGAATACTATGCAGCCATGAAAAGTAATGAGATTATGTCCTTTGTATGAACATGAATGGAGCTGGAGGCCATTACCCTAAGTGAATTAATGCAGGAAGAGAAAACCAAATACTGCATGTTCTCACTTATAAGTGGAATCTAAATGATGAGAACACATGAACACATAGAGGGAAACAGCACACATTGGGGCCTATCAGAAACAACACACACTGGAGGGTGAGAGGGGAGAAAGGAACAGGAAAAATAATTAATGGGTACTGGGCTTAATACCTGGGCATTTAAATAATCCATACAACAAACTATGACAGAAATTTACCTATATAACAAAGCTGCACATGTACCACTGAACTTAAAAGTTAAATAAAAAGAAAAAAATCTCTGGATAACTTATTTTCATTTTTAAAACTTTGTTGCAGAATATCTGACCAAAAAAAAGGTGAACTGTATGTTATGTGAATATTATCTTAGTAAAGCTATGTATAAAATCAGAATACTGGCTATTTGATAAAAGGGTTGGAAGAGAACTTTCTGGACATGCTGGGAAAGTTCTATATCTTGATCTAGGTGATATGACATAAATAAATGTACATATTAGTCTAAATAAATCAAGCTATCCATTTATAATTTGTGTACTTACTCTTATGACAATTATACCTCAATAAAATATGTTATTGTAAAAAAATTACATGGTAATTTCAAATTTCTTTCCAAAATGCTTTTAGCAATTTATACTCACAATAGTCTATTAAAATTCCCATGCTTAACATCTTACCAACTGTAATACTGATAATCTGATGGGCTAAATATGGAATTTCACTGTGGTTTCAATTATCAGTCTCTTATTGTTAATAAGGATGGTCATATATTTCTTTATTTCTGATATTCACGTTTCAGAAAAATGGTCTTTTTATACCATTTGACCAATGTTTCACTGATGTTACATTTTCTTTTATCACATACATGTGTGATAATAATCTAGAATAGAGTCTTGTTCTTTCTCTTGTTATGGTGTATTCCCATAATCTAGAAATTTACAGCATAGTCAAAACTAAAAATATTTAACTGTAGAATTTATGGAGTGTTTTTCTCTTTTAAAATAAATGCTTTTCTGACACAAATTGTTAAGTTTTTCTCCTACGTTGTATTCAATACTCAGAACTGTGAGTGTGTGTGTGTGTGTGTATCTGTGTGTGTGTGCATGTGCACCTGTGTGTATTATGAGGTAGATATCCAGTTTTATTTCAGCATTTTTCCATAAAGATAATCTATTTTGTTTTTACCATTCATGCATGCATAATTTCTGGATTCTTTTTTTCATTAACAATTTTTTTCTGGCAGGGCATGGTGGCTCATGCCTTTACCTAGCACTTTGGGAGGCCAAGTCAGGAGGATCACCTGAGATCAGGAGTTTGGGGCCGGCCTCACCAACATGGTGAAACCCTGTCTCTACTAAAAATACAAAAATTAACTGGGTGTGGTGGTATGTGCATGTAATTTCAGCCACCTGGGAGGCTGAGGCAGGAGAATTGCTGGAACCCAGGAGGAGCCTGGGCAACACAGCAAGACTCCATCTCAAAAATAATAATAATAATAATAATTTTTTCTACTTTTATACCACTAATACACTGTCTTACTATTTACTGTTTTATAATGAACCTTAACACCTACAGGGCAGAAAAATCCTTATTTATTTAGATTGTAATAGACTATAAGGTAAAATCGTGATATTTTTAATAGCGAATATGTAAAGATGAGGGTTTTTATCTTCAGTTTCTTCAGATGCTTTGTATTGTGTCATATTAGTCAAAAACAAATTGAAACATGCATATTTTTATTTTCCAAATTAGGTGAAAATTATTTGGCCTTAATAGCGTATTATGTTACATTTTTGTTCACCATTCATCTAAGCAATAATGACTATGGAAGTCCACAGATGGCACCACAACACATTAAGAATTTACTCTCATTTTCAATTTTGCATATTTGCAGTTGTTTTTTAACTTGACTCTTGATAATTGCAAATATGAAGTCAGAGGGGTTTGGAAAATCAATGCTTACCATTGTGTTATTATTCTATTTTGAGAAGTCTTTGATGTCTAAGAATAGGCATCCTCTTTGACTACATAGCTGCTCTCTAGCTATTAATTGGGTATCATATTCTTAGTGGAATGACAAGAACCCAAAAGAACCCTCCCCCAGATTTAAACAGGAGCGAATGTTTGCATTGTTTGAACGCATTCCACATGTGAACATCTTTGAATAAGGGAGTTATCTCTAGTTATCTATTAAGGATTTGTATTTATTAAATTTTATAGTTTTTGCTCTTCAGCTGTTTCGAGTATTGAGAGTAAACTATGGAAATAAGAATACAGCATAAGTTTAAAAAATGGTCCCATAAAACATTGAAATCTAGATAAGACTTACCTCTATTTCTTTTCTTAAATTTTCATGTGTTTTTTTTTCTTCCTCAAGAAAATGAGTTTTTTCAATGATAGATTCTTTTACAGTTATAATTTTATCCTTTAACTTTGTAATCTCTTCCTGTATAACATTTGAAATACAGAAATCAAAAAAGGATAGTCAATATAAATCCAATATTTTCAGTGTTTCTATAATTTAATAAAACTAGGCAAATCAAAATTTAGTTTTGATAAATAGCATTAGAATATTACTTCTATAGGTGTACAAAATAAAGAACTGTTACTAAAACAAAGAAACCTTGCATTTGAAACAGAACTAAAAATTAAACAAAAATAAGACAAAAATGAAAGTAGTGGTTATGGTGGCAACTGCCCAACAACAATGTAAAAGATACTTTTTAATTTTCTAGCAAGAAATGATGAATATTTTAAGTCTGTGCCTTCTATCGTCTTCAAAGAACAGTAAGGGAAATAGTAAGATGCTAAGGTGCAATTATTAATTTATATTGCTCGTGTAACAGCATGTAAGTGTACTAAATTGATTTGAATTGGTCTGGATCCATTGGCATAGAAGCTAAGGCTTCAACATTGTTGTGAATTATACTTTCTGCAACAAATGGATTAATTGTTGACTGTGATTTTCTTTGACCATATATTTTTATAAATCCACAGGGGATTTGTGGATGCTTCCTTTACACATTTGAGGATCTAGAATAGTTGTTATATAACACATGTACTTATCTTTTTTTTTAATTGTGAAAATAGTTTCTGAATGTAATAGAACAGCTATGGGCATTTTATTAACTTCACAATAAATTTATCATTTAATGTATGTACTTGCAAAAAAGGAGTAATAGAAAAAAATAGTTTTGCTAAGTAACTTTCCAAACCTGTACTTGTGTTATTCGGTTCCCTCCTGGATTTTGAAGATCTTGCATAAGTTCTTCTTTCATTATCTTTAATTTTTTAACAAAATTTCGTTTTTCATAGAGTTCAGTCATAAATGACCATTTGCTTTCTACCTCTCCCAAACTATTTTTATATGTTTTTATTTTAGCATAATATGCATTATATTTTGTCATGTGTTCCTCAAAATCTTCTTGGGCTGTTTCTATGTCAAATTTGAGCCCTACATTTTCTGAATGTAACGATTTGATTTGAGTTTCCAGGCTATCACAGTGAAGTTTGGTATTCTCTATGGCAGCATCTTGTTGATAAATTTGTCTTTCCGTTTCTTTAGTTTCTGCAGAGATAGTTGCTATTTGTTTTTCAAGCTCATGAAGTTCATTCTGTAATATAGTTTAACATTGTCATTATTAATTCAAAATATTAAACTTAAAAGGAAAATCAATGTTTCAATCCATAATGAATATAGAAAAAGTCACTTATAAAAATACATTTATCAGATATTAAAAAATTGAATAAAAGGAAACATGCAATAAAGTAACACAATTATAATTTCAGTGGGGTCTGAGTTATATATTTTCTAATGTTCATCTAATTCTAAATATTAAAATCTCATTGTCTTATCTTGACATTTTATACATGTAAGACACTTTATAGTAATTTGACTAATTTATTTGTAGGCATCAGAAGTATACACCCAGGAAAGACAATATGATAAAAATGATAAAGTCCTGAGTGAAGAATCAAAAGCTCTAGGTTCCAGCACCCTTACTGCTATTTACTAGTTTGTATGATAATGCATAACAAACTTCATTACCCAATTCAAACTACACTTGCTCCATTTGTAAAATGAGTATAAAGGTATTTATTTTGCCTCCCTGGGGCATTTTGCACTGCTAACTGCTTCCTCCTTGTTAAAACCTAGTTTTTGTACTACCAGTCTTTTCCAGTTCGTAGAAATTTCTGAGAATTCCTTCTCAATCTCAACGTTTCTTTCAAATATAGGTCTTCCACAGAGTTCAGTCATCGTAACTTCTTCTTCTCACTTTATATATATATATATGCTCCTTGGGTAATTTCATCTAAATTTACATCTTCAGCTACCTATCTGCTGATGATTCACAGAATGTAAGTGGCTGCTGAGTTCTATGCCCAGCTGCCACTGGCCACCTCAAATTCACCATGTCCAAAAATTGAATGAATCCTTTCTACAACAGCAGCTGATTACTCCTTGTATCAATTATCTGTTGCCAGAACCACAAAACCTCGGGGGCATAAAACAATACATAAGTGTGTATTTCTTATATGACTAGGAGCAGCTGAGGTTGGCTAGGTGGTTCATAGGCCTGGGAGCAGCAAGGTTTGGCTAGTGGGTCTGCTGATCTTGGTTGAATCTGCCCAAGTGTCTGGGGATTGGCTGATTGCAGGATGATTTCAACTGTCTTTAACTGGACTGACAGGCATGACTTGGCTTTGCTTTATGTGTATCTTCTCTGCCAGTAGGCCTGCTCAGGCATGTCTTATGATAATAGTAGATGCGAAAGAGTGAAATTCAGTTATGGAAGAGTTTTTTAAAGCTTTAGTTTGAGTCACATCTGATAACACCCTAGCTAGTCACATAATGAAACCCACAGTCAAGGGGTGGAAGTGTGTCCATCCATTTTGGAAAGGCATTGTAATGATATGGCAAAGGGTATGGATAGACAAAAGGATGAAAAATTGGGACCAAAAATGCAAATTGCCACAGTCCAGTTTCCCAACTTAGTTAATGGTACCACCTTAGCTCCTCCCTTCTTTTTAATATCTAACTGTTCCTCAAGTTCCTTAGATCTTCCCACCAAAATAACTCTGTATGCCATTCTCCATGGTCCTTTTCTCTATCTACTATGATCATTCTTTTTAAGGAAACTTGTAATGTTAGAAGGCATTGTTTTAAAAAATGCAAACTTCCTTATATCCTTTTCATGGCAGAGAAAAGGAGGTAAATTCACTGAAAAATACAACTTGGCAATGAACCTCAATTTTCATTATCAGGTCTGAAACTTTGGATGCTCACTTGACATTTCTATATGGACATTTACCAGATATCTCAACTATACACATCGAGAAAAAAATTTAATTGACACACCAAACATATTTCTTCACCAGTCTTTCTGATTTCAATAAACTGTACCACTTTCCACCTGCATACTCAAAAGCCTAGAAGTCATTCTTGATTCTACCCTTTCCCTTACCCCCACAACCTATTTCTCAGCAAATCCTGATGGTTGGGACTCCAAAATAAAATCCCCAATGGACTTCTGATCAGTCTTCATAGCGTGACCTAATGTCTAACTCATCTCCCTATTTGCATTCCTCCTCACTCCCCCAGCCAGTTTGTGTACATCAGGCAGAAGAATAGTTTCAAAACATAAATCATATCATGTTATTTCCCTGCTCAACATCCTTCAGTGGTTTCCCATTGCATCAATCAAGCATTTCAAATTCCTCCAAGTGTCTTACAAGCCATACATACCTCAGTGCCTATCTACTTTGTTAACCTTCTCCTCTACTTCTCTCCCTTCTTCCAGTCTCCTTTCTGTTAATTAAACATGTATACTTCCTTCTGACCTAAGAGCATTTTAAATTATTGTTTGGTCTCTTTAAAATTCTCTACCCTTGGCAATTATCTATTGGGTCTTTGTCTTTTACAGTTCAGTATTATTATGTCTCAGAACAGTCTTCCCTATATCAAAATATAAATGAACCAACCACTATTCCACTCCTCCTCTAGTTACTCTCTACATATTACCCCATTGTATTTCCTTTGTAATATATCAATCTTTGATTATCTTTGTTTTGTTAATGTATCCCTGCTTCCCCTGACTAGAAAGTAAGCTCTCTGGCTACAGAAACCATGTCTATCTTCATCACCACCACCTTCCCAGTGCTTAAAACAGTAACTGACACAAAGTGGGTGTTCAATAAATAAATAAATTCACTCATTTATTAAATGAGTGAATGACTGATGCACAAACAATGGTCAGGAAAGGGATATGCCCTGCTGGTTACATCAGGCTATCTATTAACTCTCTTGGTCACTATAGGGAGTATATTGACCAATATAATTTAGTCATCTCTTCTCTTTCTTAGACTAATGTAATTCACTGTTAATTTTTCTTATTGGCTTTAGTTTCTTTTGACTTTAATCCATTTCTTCCCTTACATGAAATTACGTTACTTTTTTTCTCTTCTCCTTTCTTTATCTTCTCTCCCTCTTTTCTCCCTCTTCCTCTTCACCCTTTTTCCTTTCTTCAATCTCTCCTTTTTAAACTCTTAACTTTATTGAGGCAAAATTTATATAAATAAATACGTATCCAAACTTTACAATTTGATGAATTTTGACCTTCTTGTGCTCATGAGACCATCGCTACAACTAAGATAATAAACGTAGCCATTACCCAAAAACATTTTCTCCTGATAACTCTGCAATTCATTCCTCCCTTTCCACTTCTCCATTCCTAGGCAACCACTGAACTGTCTTCCTTCATTAAAGATTAGTTTTGTTTTCAATAATTTTACATAAATAGAATCATTTAATGTAAAATGTTAAGTCTTCATTCAGTAAGCATCATTATTTCAAGATTTATTCATGTTGTTTTATATATATATATATATCAATAATTCTTCATTTTTATTGCTAAGTAGTATTCCATTGTATGAATATACCATATTAGTTTATTAGTTCATCTAACTGATGGGCATTTGGGTTATTTCCAGTTTTCCAGTAGGCATACTCATTTATTTCTCTTGGGTAAATACCCAGAAGTTAAATGGCTAGAGTATATGGTAGGGATAGGTTTAACTTTTCAAGAAAGCATAAACTGTCTTCCTAAGTGGTTGTGTCATTTTACAGTCCATCTAACAGGTCTGAGAGCTCCAGGCCTTCTGTATCTGCATCAACATTTGTTATGTTCAGTCTTTTTAAACTTAGACATTCTAGTGGGTTGTATATGTGTGTGTGTTCCTGTGTGTGTGCATAGAGTGTAAATTTAAGTATACTGTTAGATGTGCTTTCAAGTATTTTCTTCTAGTCTGTGACAAATGGCCAAAGGGCCCCAGCAAGAATATCTTACTTTGTTTTCATAATAGTGTATATTGAAGAATAAAGTTTAAGAAATTTTTTTGGATGAAATTGATCAAAATTTGTATCTCATATTAAAGAAATCATTGCCAAGCCCAGCATCACTAAGCTTTTCTATGTTTTCTTCTAGACATTTTGTAGTTTTAACTCTTATCAACTTCAGTGTATGATTTTTTTCTTTCCTTTAATTTGAGAACTTTCACCTTCTCACTTAAAAGTAAGTACTTTACAGCTTCTCTTTGGCATACCTGAATTGCCAGCATCACTACTCTGATACTTTGGGGCCATTAAGTAAAATAAGGATTAGTTGAACCTAAGCACTGCAATACTGCCACAATCAATCTGATAACAGATGACTACTAAGTGATAAAGAACGGGTAGCTCATATGGCATGGATGTGCTGGACAAAAGGACAACTCATGTCCCAGGCAGAATACAATAAATTTTCGTATATTAATCTTGTGTCCTGCAATCTTTTTAAACTCACTTATTAGTTCTAATAGCTTTTTGTAGATTCCTTGGGATTTTCTTTTTTAAAAAAATCATGCCATCTGTGAATAAAGACAGATTTACTTCTTACTTTCTAACATGGATGAGTTTTATTTCTTTTCCTCACATAGCTGTGCTGGCTTGAACTACCAGCACCACCTTAAATGGAAGTTAGAGCAGACATCTTTGTGTTATGCCTGATCTTGGAAGAAAAACATGCATTATTTCACCACTAAGTATGTTGTTGGTTGTAGAATTTATGTAGATGTTCTTCCTTAGATTAAGAAAGTTCCCTTTTATTTCCAATTAGATGAGAGGTTTTTTTAAAATCATGAATGGATATTGGATTATAATAAGTGCTTTTTTTGTAACTAGAATTCTTTCTAAAATATATATTTAATTATTTGCTTCTTGCTTACAATCTGTCAAATGCTTCTCATCAAGTTTAGAATAAAGTTGGATTTTCTTATTGTGGTATATATCTTCTATGTTTTTTTCAAAACACACTGTAATTTACATTGCCATCAAACTATGATTCTGAGGGAATGCGTTCTCTTTGCAGGTCCATGATGTGGCGTAGCTTTAAAGGCAAGAATTTTCCAGCGCCATGCCCCGCTCCCTTCTCTCTCCATCCGGGAGATTCAACTGTTTATGTTTGAATTTCATAGGCGCGGGAAGAAACTAAAAGTCAATCACTCCTGAGTAAGTTCTAAGGAACTCCTTTCATTGGCCCAGGGTCTTGGAGAAGGTGGGGGTTTCTCCCAGGATAATGGTCCATGCTCCCTCACCTGCGCCAGATTTCCCCTCCCACACGGTGGGAGCTCCCTTCGGTATGTCCTCTATGGAATCCCCTTCCATACTCTTCGTGGAAGCCTTTCTCTTCTTCTTCTTTCCTTCTCTTTTCTCTACCTAAATAAAATCACCTTTCTGCAACACTTTTTGGGTCCAAGATTTGCTTTACAAGCATACGGTCCACCTGCAGTGGCCCCACCGCTTATTCTTCAAGACGTTGGAGGCCAAAACCCACAGCAATCACCGGCAACTAAGAAAAAACCCGGTTACAGTTCTAGGAGTGTGCCAACGCTATTTCAGGCCTCTGCGAATATCCTCAGGTTCTTGTTATTTAGAATAATATCTTCCTTACTCCCTAACCCTTAAACCTGTACTAGGCACCTAATCATTCAGATGAACTCCAGGGGCCATTTAAAACTCAACTGAAACATCATTTCGTTTGTGATCACTCCTTCTCTAGTGCTAAATCTGTGTTGTGTTCATGCCTCTATTGTACTATTACTCTGCGTGTAATTATTTGTTTTCTTCTTTCTCTCCCCAGTAGATGGTAAGTAACATAAGAGTGAGGACAATGTTCAGCAAAATGCTTAACACAAAGTAGGCTCTTAATATAAGTGAAATAAAGTCTATGAGACTCTTTGAAGACTGAAAAGTTTTACCAAAAAATTCTTTACAAAAACATGACATTGTTTTTGAATTTTATTCTATTGAGTAGATGTATTCTTTTCTGGAAGTGACTAATATAATACAAATATTTGTAAGAAATGCATATTACCATGATAATATAATTATTGCCATCATATACCTACGGATGCATCTAAAGCCAATGTCAGAATCAGGCCCTAACTGTCCACCTGGGCCCCACCAACACATCAATTCATTGAATCCTCATGAAAATCTCATGGGCACATCCTACTGCTATCTCCATTTTACAACTAAGAAGACAGGAGCACAACAAATTCAATCGCCGAACAAGTAGTAAATCTGGCCTTTTGAACTAGGCAGTTCAGCTCCTGAGCCTGTTTTTCTCGTTTCCATGATATGTTTAATAATAACCTTTACAGAGCACAAAATACTGTTTTCATTTTCATTTCTTTAGTCATATTTACATAGTCTAGTTATATCTAATTATGTTGCATGCAAAGACCAAGTATGGCTCCCATATTCCCTGTAGTAGGATTATGAATATCGTGAAAAAGGAAAGGAGCATAAAGGGAGGCTACTTTGTTCACTGACAACCCGTAACTCACAAGCCATAGCTTTACAAACACTGGCTTAAAACTTAACCTTCCTTCAATTCAGCACTTTAGGAAAAACTATCAAATAAGGGAATATAAAATAATTCTAACTAACATGTTAGGTTTTATATGCGTATCCTACAGTTGCAATGACATTGTTGAATCTTTGTATGTTGGGAGTGTAAAATTTTCCATAAAACTGGAATACTCATGTAAACTTTACTTAAGGAGAACAGAATAGCTGACAGAGAATAACTTTAAAACTAAGTCCCAATATTAAGTATTCTTAATAACCTGCTGGTCATTTACTTTTGAAGAAAGTAAAGACGTTTAAAAGACTATATAAAAGAAGTTACCTGCAAATTGAACAGAACTTTTTTATTTTTCTCTATCTCTGATGCCTGTGATTGTTGTTGCTTTGCAACTTGCTCTACAGCATCGGCTAATGAGTATGTGTCTTGGTTATCTACAACTAGCAAAAGAATAAAGTAGATTAAAAATTAAAATGTAGACATGTTAAGAAAGTTATGATTCTTTACTCAAAATCATGAAATAGTTGTTGCTTTTTCCTCCCAAACTAAATTTAGAATTAGTAATTTTCCCTTGCTAATATAGACGAAACCAAAATTAAAGACAACAGTAATAGGCAATTCAAAGTTGCCTACTGCAATGTTATACCTATTTCTTTATGGAACAGGATAAATATTTTGATTGTCCTAATTTTTTTATCCAGGCCACTTGCACATATACTGTAATTATAATGCTACTATAACAACTCTATAGCAATTAGAGTTGATGCATTTTCATTACAGGCTTGTATTTGCAGGTTGGCATGCCTTTTCTAAAAACTGCGCATGCTTTTCCTGGCTAAATGTAACTGCTTCCCTCTATTCTAATTTGCTATCAATTCTAACACAATTATCCTGCCAGACTACTTTTTTGTTGTCGTTGCTAATCTTTTAATTATTTATTTCTTAAGATTGTTTCGTTACCTTCTTTAGGAACTCCTTGACTCCTCCTTTCTTTGTTGTCTGACATCCTCTGTCCGTAATCTCTTCCTTCCCTCTTTTTGGTTTACTCCTACTCAATAATCTAGACTGATAATCCTTCACTTCTGTTTTTTCCTGTTGTATATTGGTGATTCTGAAAGGCACATTAATTGTCAAACATGTCACAGGATGTCAACGACATTTCATCATTAGTGCCAAGATTGAAAAAACAATGGTTAAGTGAGAGATTTTGGAATAAAGGTAGAATTATATTTGATTTTTGCTTCTCCTGCTTTTCTGTTGTTATGACCTTGAGTAAGTTTCTTAACTTCTTTGATCCTCAGTGCCTCATCTTTAAAACTTCATAGGGCGATTCTAATAATTAAAGTAATATAAGTAGCATGCATAGGTCAGTACGTGACATATACCGCATAATTATTTTGGGTTAGTATTAATATGTAACTCTAGTACTACGATGAAGTGGATTCTGAAACTATAACCAGAATCTGTAAGAAACAATATTAACATTAATTAGCAATTAGTGTTATGGATATGGAATCCAGGGGATACAGCATGCCTGTCCAGTGCTATTCTAGCAAGGGTAAGCCCTAAGCAATTTTCAGAGTTCAAGGTGGGCAGATCATGAGGTCAGGAGATTGGGATCATCCTGGCTAACATGGTGAAAACCCATTTCTACTAAAAATAACAAAAATTAGCCAGGCATGGTGGCATGCACCTGTAGTCCCAGCTACTCAGGAGGCTGAGGCAGGAGAATCGCTTGAACCCAGGAGGCAGAGGTTGCAGTGAGCCAAGATCATGCTATTGCACTTCAGCCTGGGCAACAGAGATTCTGCCTCAAAAAAAAAAAAAAAAAATCTGTGCATATTCAAGTCCCAAAGTCAGTGCTTCGGAACCCATTCATATGAAAACTTGGCCCTCCTTACATGGGGTTTCAAGCCCTGCATATACTATATCTGAGTTTGGTTGAAAATACCCATGGATGAGTGGACCTGCACAGTTCAAACCAGTGTTGTTCAGGGGTCCACTCTATTTTGCATTCCTATGTTGCTAAAACATCACTTTAATCAACTTACTCTTTCTATTCCCACTAGTACTGTCTACATTTCTTCTTTGGGCAACAATTCTGGTAAAGTGTGTTTATAGAGCTGCGTTTATACAGCTGTGTCATTAGGCCATTGGAGCTCCAGCAGACCTCCAATGGCCTAATGACACAATCTGCATGCCTGAAGAGGCAATCCAATGAGTTCTTCATGTCCTTACCTAACAGTACATTTCTGCTAGGTAACTTACCTTCCTGGTGAGTCCCCATTTTTCTCTCCCCCAAATCACAGTGTAACTTCCATAAGCTGCCAAAATGTTGTGGGCACTAGTCCCACTAAATTCTACACCCCTAGTAACTTCAGTCTTCAGAAGAAGCTAGGTCATTCTTCATCATGAGAACCCATCCTTATTCAGCTTGGTAAGTCCCTTAGTGTGATGCGGTATTACCCACTCCCAACCCTTTTCTTTTTTCTTCTTTTTTCTGAGACGGAGTTTTGCTCTTGTTACCCAGGCTAGAGTGCAATGGCGCAATCTCACCTCAGCCTCCCGAGTAGCTGGGATTACAGGCACACGCCACCATGCCCAGCTAATTTTTTGTATTTTTAGTAGAGACGGATTTCACCATGTTGACCAGGATGGTCTCGATCTCTTGACCTTGTGATCCACCCGCCTTGGCCTCCCAAAGTGCTGGGATAACAGGCTTGAGCCACTGCACCCGGCCCTTTCCTATCCTTCCACTTTGAATTCTGAAATTCATGGGCCATCTTCAGCAAAGTTCTCTCTATTGTCAACCTTTTCAGTGAACGTTCCTTTTACCTTTTGGCTTTAACTGAAGTCCAAAGATACAGCTTCCTCATTTTCAAACCACTAAGTTTGGAGATGAGACATTTTTTTCTGTTTCCCATTCCACTGCCACCGTATTTACTTTTCTTCTCTCTAAACTCTGGTTTCTTCAAAGTTCAGGTCATAGACTATATAGGCTTTATCTTTCCTTGTTATCAACTGTCTTCCAGGTCTTGGAAGGCTCAGTCCTAGATTATAGCATCTTCTGACTTAGTGTTTCTCTATCACTACTCTCTTATATTTCTTTGGGATTTCAATATCCACACAAAATGTAGATCTAAAACCCTGATCTCTCAGCTGTTTGATGTCTTCTTTCATCAATTCTACCCAGCAACCCATAGAGTGTAACTACCTCATCCAGAATCTCAGATTCAAACTATTTATTTTTTCTAGCTCATCTCATCTAGTATTTTGACAGTATGTGCTGTTTAACCCTGCAAGGCTTCCAACCCATCAACTCTTCTATCTTTACGCATTCCCACAGCCTTTCATGTATTCTTTCCTCTGTACCTGGCTTAGATTCCTTTGCATTCACCCTCATTTCCGTTGCAGCTCAGTCCCTGTCCGAATTCCCTGGAAGAATCCCAACCAGCTGCTTTGCTTACACTCAAGTAGCTGAATATGCTTAAAGAAAGACATACAGCTATGCTGTTGGCTCGCTTTAAATTCAAGACTATTATGTCAAGTGGGCCCTGGATCCTAGGCTCTTAAGATGCACCAAGTCATGTAGATGATTGTCTCACTCTTTATCCTGTCTTCAAACCTCCATACCTCTTTTCCCTTCCTTTGAGTTAATAATTTACCTTCTAATTTAACTGAAATAGAAGAAAAAAATCAGAGATGGTAAATTACCCATTTACCAGATTGTCTACCTGCACCTGTATACCAGCTTACTATTTTCTTGCAATAAATAAAGTGTTCTTGCTCCTATCTAAGGCCAATCCTCTACTTTTTTACTCTTTCTCACAGACATTACTTCTTTGAATGGCCTGTCAACAGAATTTCCCTATTTACTTGGTCAAACATATTATTCTGATCAGCCCATCATAAATGAACAACCACCACCACCACCAGCTTTGCTTAACACCACAACCTCCTTCAGTATTGACCCATTTCTGTGCTCCCCCTTTAAACCCAGGATCCTTGCTCTCCACTTCCTCTCCCTGCTTTCTTCTTGAACCCACTAGACCCAATCACTTATCAGTGTACTTTTCAAACTCCTATCTATGAGCTCCACACTGTCACATTCAATGAAAAAGTTCCATCATTTTACTTGACCTATTGGCATCATTTAACACATCTGATCATTACTGGCTTCTTGAAACACCACACTTCCTGGTTTTCTTTGTTGGTTCCTTCTCAACTTTTTCACTTGTTACAGCTCCTAGTGCTCAGTCCTCAGGCTGCCTTCTTTTCTCATACTTATTCTACACGTGATGCCATCTAGTTCTATGGCTTTAAAATCCACCTATAGGCTGACAATTCCCAAATTGTATCTCTACCCTGAACATCCCTTTTGAACTGAAGACTCATCCTCATACTCATTGCTTACCTGATATCTCCACTTGGATTTTTAATAGGCATTTCAACTCAGTATATTCCAAACTGAACTCTTGATTCCTCTGTCCACTCTATTACCACCACTAAACCTGCACCTTCATAGCCCTCTCCATTTCAGTCAATTGTAAGTTCATTTTTCTTGTTGTTCAGGCCAAAAACCCTGAATTCATTAGCAGGGAGGTCTCCACAAGGGTATAGAGCCCAAGGCAATTCAACCAGAAGTCCCCAAGGCAATAAGAAAGGAGATCTTATTGTTGATGTTTCATGGGCCCTTTCAGAAATCCTTAACACTCCAGGGCCGATGCCCTGATTGACCTACCCAAAGGATGAGCCAGAACCTTCACTCTTTTCTTTCCATTACATGCTGCATGCAGTTCTTTTGGCAAAACCCATTGGCTCTACCTTTAAATTATATTGGAATCCAATCAACCTCTACCAATTCCAAATACTATCATAGTAGAAGAGCCTTCCCTGATAATCCTCTTTCATCCCCTCTTTCCTTGCCCTGCCTCATTTTTCTTGATAGCATCTATCACCACTGACATCTCATAAACTTGTTTATTCTCCTTATCCTTCTACTAATGTAAGCTCCGTGATGACAGAGGTCTAGAAGTGCCTGGCACATACCAGGTGTCTAACTATAGTCTATCTCCACTCCAATTCACCCTTTTCTGACAGAATAATGGTCTGAAAGCACTGTTCTAATCATGTCAACATCACAGCCAATCTTTCAATTCCATTTTAGATGGTATTTTGTTGAAGAGGTCTTTCTTGATATTTCGGGGAAGATGTGGACTTTCTTTTTTTAGATGAATTGTTTCAGTATTTCTATTATATAATTTTAGATAAAGGTACAAAGTCTAGGGTAAGTCAGAGCTAGTTTTGAATCCAGATTGCATTACTTATTAGCTTATTAGGAAAATTATTTGCAACCTGGGACACAGATTCCTTACCTATGAAATGGGAACAATATTAGTGCCTGCTTCATTAGGGTTTTTAGCAAATTCCTGTCACACTATGAATACGCAACACATTTTTGTTTTTATTATTTTCATTATTTTATAGTATCTTTCCCCATTAGATTGTCAGCACTATGAAGGCAAATATGGTGTTTTATTCATTGTAGTATTCCTTAAAGTATTTGATAAAGTAACCTAAAGGATAAAGAAAATTGGATGTATATAATAAAAGCAAAGTAACTAGTATTTCTTGATCTCTATTTGTATAGCAATATAAATTGAAGAACTCTTGGGTAATATTTATTTAAACCAACTATTCATAAAATTTATGCTGTAAAATCGGAAAAGTTTTAGTTTTTTTCTCAGATTTCTATTGTGCAGTGAAAAGAAAAATGAACTACTGCCATCTACTGATAATTCATTAGAACTGCATAAATTAAAGAAAGGCTTTAGAGACAAGACTGTCTCTTAAAAATGTGTTTTTGTTCATGAAGTCCTTGCCTACTCCTATGTCCTGGATAGTTTTGCCTAGATTTTCTTCTAGGGTTTTTATGGTGCCAGGTCTTATGTTTAAGTCTTTAATCCATCTGGAGTTAATTTTAGTGTAAGGTGTCAGGCTGCATATTCTCACTCATAGGTGGGTGATGAAAAATGAGAACACATGGACACAGAAAGGGGAGTACTAAACACTGGGGTCTATTGGGGCGAAAAGGGGAGGGCCAGTGGGAGGGGGAGGTGGGGAGGGATAGCCTGGGGAGAAAAGCCAAATGTGGGTGAAGGGGAGAAGAAAAGAAAGCACACTGCCAGGTGTGTACCTACGCAACTGTCTTGCATGCTCTGCTCATGTACCCCAAAACCTATAATCCAATAAAAAATTAAAAAAATAAAAAAATAAATAATAAAAAAATAAATGTGTTTTTAAGAGAAGTTAGAACATCATCAGAGTCATCCAAAAAGAATCAATTAATTGAATAATTAAAAATAAACTGTAGACCTATTATATACCAGTACCACTGAATCTGCTGAAACTAGAGATTACTTCCTTTTCTGGTCAGGCAATGAGATTAGAGTTTCAGGGCATTGAAAAAGAAAGAAACCAGAGGATTTGTACTGTTCCTTACCTCCTATCCAAGATAATATAGGCACCATTCATACATTATCCACACTGCTTCCAGCTTTCTGTAAAGGAGAGGCTTCGCCAAATGTATAGACAGTACTGGACTACCAAAACATGTCTTGTTTGGAGTGCAGACATAAAAGAGTTGGTCTGCAGCTCAAATCCAAGCTTTAAAGGATGTCCAAGCAACTGTTTCAAAGAGGAACAGAAGTTATAGACCTTTGGTGAAATCCAGCTATAACCTACCTGCTTGTCTCATTCAGAGAGGCAAGGGGCAAGGTCTTTTTTTCCCCCTTCTAAACAAGTAAACATGATTTCTAAACCAAGAGGAACTTTATAGTGGGTTAAATGGTGCCCTCCCGCACACCCAAAGACATATCCACGTCCTAACTCCCAGAACCTGTAAATGTGACCTTATTTGGACAAGGATCTTTGCAGATATAATTGGGTTAAGGATCTTGAGATGGGATCATCCTGGATTCAGGGTGGGTGACTGAATATGCAAATGGACAATGGCCAGACCATATATGTAAAAACAGAACTCTGACCCACAACCTGCAGCAACCCAGGAAATTAACCCATTATCTATAGTTAATTAGTCCGGGAAGTCTATAAATTAGACTTGTAGTAAGTCATATCCTTCTCTCTAATAACAGTCCTGGGAAACAAACTATAACAGTTGGCCCAAATGGCCAGCACTGCATTAATAACTGGCATCTTCCCTAACTTTTGTTCCTATTTCACCCAGGTTGAGACTAACAGGAAGAAGCCGATTATGCACCCCTAACCAATCACATAGAACGCTCCACTTCTAGTTAGCCTGCCTACAGCTTCCTCATGCCAAGAGCCTCTAATCAGGGCGTGCTCACTCCTCTGGCTGCCTTTGACTCTGCTAAAATGCAAGAGATGGTGATTCCCTCCCTTACAAGGTCTGAATAAATAGCCTCAGCTTGTTCTCATTTGATTGATCGTCATTTATTTCTACACAAGAATGCTTGTAAGAAACTTAGAACCACAGGGAAGACCATTTGACGATGGAGGCATGGAGCTCCAAGTCACCTTACCCCTAGGCAAAGAACACCTGGAGTCACCAGACAGAAGAGGTAAGCAAAAGATGCAAGGTCCTGTCAATGCCTCAGTTTCATAATCTGGCCTCCATAGCTGTGAGAGAACAAGTTTTTGTTGTTTTTAGTCACCCAGTTAGTGCTAATTTGTTATGGCAGCCCTAGGAAACTAACAAAGGCTTTTAGCAAGGAAATACGCATCTCCTTCATGGCCTTTTCTGGAAAGATCCACAAACCTTAATGTAAATGGCTTAGAAACAACTGTTTTGTTTTTTAAAATTCTGCTTCTTCTCATGAGAAGATTTACATAGCATTATAAAAGTGTCTGGGGATTTCTTCAGTGGTTTCCCTTAATAAGCAGGCACTATCTCTGCCCTCAAAACACTCTAGGGAGAAAGATACATAGTCAATTAAAATGAAGAGGTAGTAGCTGATGTTTTAGCCTATCTACACAAAACTTCTAACCAGTTAACTCACTCCGTTTCCTTTGTAAGTCATATGGCTAATTCCCATCTCAGATTTGCTGGATAACAGTAAATCTGTCTATGTCTGCTCCTACCAGTGGACCTGTTCAATCTTGACTGACTTGTGCTTGTTTCCAAACCCATTTTTACCATTTGTACTCGATATTGTACTGTCATAACTACAGTTATGAATATTGTATAAACCAATGAAATAGTGTGGAAAGTGTTTCTTTAAAAATCTATGTTCAAGGCTGGGCATGGTGGCCTGTAATCCCAGCACTTTGGGACACCAAGGTGGGCGGATCACGAGGTCAAGAGATTGAGACCATCCTGGCCAACATGGTGAAATCCCATCTCTACTAAAAATACAAAAATTAGCTGGGTGTGTCATGCACACCTGTAGTCCCAGCTACTTGGGAGGCTGAGATAGGAGAATTGCTGGAACCCAGGGGGTGGAGGTTGCAGTGAGCCAAGATTGTGCCACTGTACTTCAGCCTGGTGACAGAGCGAGATTCTGTCTAAAAAAAAAAAAAAAAATCTATGTTTAATATTTTGGAAAGATCCAACAAAGGTATGTGAGATTAACTGTACAAGATTATAAAGAATAGTGATAACTCACGCCTATAAGGCGAGCACTTTGGGAGGCCAAGGTGGGTGGATCATGAGGTCAGGAGTTCGAGACCAGCCTGGCCAACATGGTGAAACCCCGTCTCTACTAAAAATACAAAAATTAGCCAGGCGGGGTGGCACACACCTGTAATCCTAGCTACTCAGGAGGCTGAGGTAAGAGAATTGCTTGAACCTGGGCGGCAGAGATTCCAGTGAGCCAATATCGTGCCCCTGCACTCCAGCTTGGGCAACAGAGTGAGATTCCGCCTCAAAAACAAACAAAAAGATTATAAAGTATAAATCCACCTTCAGATTGTTTCACAAGTGGCTTTATTTTCCCCTTAAAAGAACACTATCTTGGGAAATCTTAGCTGATGGTTTAGGGGTATGGTTTATGCAAGAAATAGAATGCAGAATTCCAACAGTAGACTACATGCAAAGAAAAGGTCTTGAACCTTTTCAATAGATTTGGCAAGTGAACACACAGTTGTTTAAGGTTTGTTTTTTTTTTTTTAAAAAAAGCTTTTGTAAAGATATAATTTACATACCACAAAGTTCATCCTTATAAAGTGTACAATTTAATATTTAACTATTTCTTTCCATTTATTGCTTGGCAATGGGCCATCTATGAGAGGGCTTCTTATATAAAATGTAAAGAAGCTATTAATTTTGCTTGATGAAGGATGGGGACTCAAGGAAGATTACGTTTGAGCTTGAAGAGGCTTGAACAAAAAGTAGCAGTTAGGCATACAAGAGGAGGGTATCGTGCTAAGTAGAGGAACTGCAAATGTAAAGAATGAAATTATGTGGCCTCCAAAGAACAACTTTTATTTGAGTGGCTTGGGAATAGGGTGTTTTCATTTTTTTTCAAACTTAATTATGCATCTGAATCATACGTAGAGATTAAAACAAAACAAACAAAACATGCTCAGGCCTGACTCGTAGAGATTCTGATTCAATGTATATCTGGGGTGGAGTCTCAACATTACTTTTTAAGTTGCGCTTGTAGTTCTGATGTGCAGCCAAGACTGAGAACCACTGGAGTGGGATAGAGTGAAATGGGACGAGGAAGTGTTAGGACGTGACACTAGGGACAGATGGTGAGAGGAAATGGTATGCAAATATAATATGACAAACTGTCCCCTGACAACGTCATTCTTGGGAAATATTTTCATTTTTTACTGCCACTACTGTTGCATGAAAGAAGATGAATTCTCCGTTGTAAAAACAGAGCTAATTGTTTAAAACCTTTGTAACTAAAAGACCTGTTTTGCTTGCGGTACTACGCTGTTGCAAAAGGAACTGCTGTCTTTGTCACGGGCAGAAACCGCGATTGCATTTGCACCGACCGTTCATGATATTTAGCATGAAACAGACTCAGGGCAGGGCGCACCATGTGCCCGGGTGTGCCATCTACTGCTCCGGGCTCTCAACAAATGAGCAAAGAAAGTGGCGCTGGAGCTGTGGAAGGTGGGTTCCTCTCGCGGGCTGGTGCCGCCAGTCTCCAGGGAAGACAAGAGCGCGCCCACCCAGAGCTCGTGCAGCTCCGGCCGCCCGAGACTGAGACCAAGGTTCCCCAGCGCCTATGAAAGGAGCAGCAATACGGAAAAACGGGACGTCTCCTCCAGCAACCAGTTCCTCACGAAGCACCGTTTCTGTTACTCCTAGAAGGCCGGGTATTTTCTACCTTTACCCTACACTGGCCTTCCACGTCCTAATGCGCAGAATTTTCTTTTCTTTTTTTTTTTTGTTTGAGACGGAGTTTCGCTCTTGTTACCCAGGCTGGAGTGCAATGGCGCGATCTCGGCTCACCGCAACCTCCGCCTCCTGGGTTCAGGCAATTCTCCTGCCTCAGCCTCCCGAGTAGCTGGGATTACAGGCACGCGCCACCATGCCCAGCTAATTTTTTGTATTTTTAGTAGAGACGGGGTTTCACCATGTTGACCAGGATGGTCTCGATCTCCTGACCTCGTGATCCGCCCGCCCCGGCCTCCCAAAGCGCTGGGATTACAGGCGTGCGCCACCATGCCCAGCTAATTTTTAGTATTTTTAGTAGCGACGGGGTTTCACCACGTTGACCGGGATGGTCTCGATCTCCTGACCTCGTGGTCCGCCCGCCCCGGCCTCCCAAAGCGCTGGGGTCACAGGCGTGCGCCACCGCGCAGTAATTCTAGGAAATGCACGTTCTAGTCCCGGCGGCCGGGTCGGGGCGCTAGAGCGCACCTTGGTCGCGGCTTCAGGTCACCCTTCCTTCTGCGCTGCGGGCCGCACAGGACACCCGCGTTGTTGCCGCAGGTGCAGGCGCCGGAAAGAGGGCGGGGACGACCCACGCACGACAGCAACCGTAAAAGCGTCTCCTCGAGGGTTCCCTGACGTGGGAAAGCCAGTCCTGACACGCCGCCGGGCCAGCGGGGACTCCCCAGCAAAGGGGAGCCGGGACTTCAGCCTCCGCTCGCGGAGGGCGCCCCTCACCCGGCCCGCCGGGCCCTCCCCGCCCCGCGCTCTCCGACCCGGCCCCGGGTTCCCTCCCCGTGACTCCGGAGATGCGCAGTCCCGCCGCCCAGAGCCCGCTTCCGGGGCCCGTCAGTGCGCACCCCGTCCCCCCTCGGCGCCCCACGCCACCGCGCCTGGCTCCGGCCCGAGGGCCCCTCGCGACTCTGGCTCTTGTTCCTCTAACCCCGCGGGGCCGGCCGCGCAAACCCGGAAACGCTGAGGCAGCAGCGAGCGCGCGGCGCTGGGATCATCCCGGGATTCCCCGGCTCTCGCGCTGGGCCCGCGGCGCCTTCACGGCTCACCCCGGGAGGCCTGAGCTTCCCCCGCCTCCCGGCAGTGGGTCCCCGGGAACCCGGCCGTCAGGTTTCCCCGGAATCCCGGGGCGGTGTCAGGCGGGGGATCCGCGCGGCCGAGTCGAGGTGGGTGAGGTGAGGCGGGGCGAGTGGGTGAGGTGAGGAGGGGCGGGGAGGGGTGAGGTGAGGGCGGGGCGAAGGGGGTGAGGTGAGGAGGGGCGAGGGGTGAGGTGAGGAGGAGCTGGGAGGGGTGAGGTGAGGAGGGGCGAGGGGGTGAGGTGAGGAGGGGCGGGGGGGTGAGGTGAGGGCGGGGCGAAGGGGTGAGGTGAGGAGGGGCGAGGGGTGAGGTGAGGAGGAGCTGGGAGGGGTGAGGTGAGGAGGGGCGAGGGGGTGAGGTGAGGAGGGGCGAGGGGGTGAGGTGAGGAGGGGCGGGGGGGGTGAGGTGAGGGCGGGGCGAAGGGGGTGAGGTGAGGGCGGGGCGAAGGGGGTGAGGTGAGGAGGGGCGAGGGGGTGAGGTGAGGGCGGGGCGAAGGGGGTGAGGTGAGGCGGGGAGGGGTGAGGTGAGGCGGGGCGGGGGAGGTGAGGGCGGGGCGAAGGGGGTGAGGTGAGGAGGGGCGAGGGGGTGAGGTGAGGAGGGGCGGGGGGGTGAGGTGAGGCGGGGCGGGGGAGGTGAGGGCGGGGCGAGGGGGGTGAGGTGAGGCGGGGCGGGGGGGTGAGGGCGGGGCGAGGGGGTGAGGCGGGGCGAGGGGGGTGAGGTGAGGCGGGGCGAGGGGGTGAGGCGGGGCGGTGTCATCACCTCTGGGCCGGGCTTAAGACCTGGGGGCGGCTGCCCACTTTCGTTGGGACTCAGGAGGAGGGTCGGGGCGGCAAATCGTCACGGGGGTCGCAGTAGGCGGGTGCGCGACCGAAGATGAAGAGCGGGAAGGCGACGACAGAGCAGTCACCTGTGGCGTGCGTGGTCTGACAGGAAGTCCCGAGTGGGCGGTGAGCGGCGGGTGGAGATGCCCGGGCAGGTGCAGAGCCACGGCCTGCGCCCCGTGAGCCAAGGCGGCTGGGAAGCACGGGGACGCGGCGACGACACACGTTGGGTGGAAATTCACAACGAACAGGGGAGGGGGACGGTCACCCACTCAAAACCGCCGAAAAGAATCTCAGAGGGAGCCCCGAGCGATGGGGAGCGAAGGTTGGGGGAAGAGGCAGGAGAAAAGCTTCTTGGGGCAAAGGGCGTCACCAGAGGGGGTCACCGGAGACCCGCAGGGTGGGGTGGGACGGGTGGGCCGGAGGTAAGCACAGCTGCGCGGGGACAATGAATTCACAAAGTGGCGGGGAGCCTGTCTCATCCAAAGCGCTGTAACTTTGGCGGTCATTGTTAAGTGCAGTACTGCACAAATCCGGAAGGGAGCGCTGTCAGCCATCTCAGCTTTCATCGCCTTAAAATGCGAAATTCAGGTGCAGCTCCGTTTAGCTTCATGAACTTAATCCCCGCATACGAAAGGATGAGAACTAATATGACAGTCATGTCAACACAGGTTGCACCCTCCAAGTAAAAAACACGGCTTTGTCTAACTCAGCAAGTAATTCTTTACTTCAAATCTCTATGTAAACAAAACAAAACAGGTGAACTGTTGTTCTGCTTGAAAGATGTACCAACATTTTCGCAAAACAAATTAAAAGATGGCTTTGCTTTCATTGTCATGGTTCTCTTGTGACAGAGTAGATTGGCTTTTCTGGGAGGGGCCTACATTTACTATTTTGGTTATATTTTGAAGTCGGTGTAATTCTTTTTTTTTTTTTTTTTTCCTGAGAGGGAGTCCCACTCTGTAGCCCAGGCTGGAGTGCAGTAGTGCAATCTTGGCTCACTGAAACCTCTGCCTCCCAGGTTCAAGCAATTCCCTGCCTTAGCCTCTCGAGTAGCTGGGATTACAGGTGCCTGCTACCCTGCCCAGCTAATTTTTGTATTTTTAGTAGAGATGGGATTTCACTATCTTGGCCAGGCTGGTCTTGAACTCCTGACCTCGTGATCCACCCGCCTTGACCTCCCAAAGTGCTGGGATTACAGGCATGAGCCACTGCACGCAGCCAATTACTTCTTTTTTAATCTACCTCACATTTCTATTGTAACTATAAGAGGATTTATATAATTTTATATTCTTACACTAATTTTTATTTGCAGGTGATTTATTTGCCACGAAAGTATTCTTTGAAGGATGGCAGAAGCGGTTTTGATTGATCTTTTTTATTTGAAATTGAACTCTCAAAAAAACTGCCCTCAGACATTACTGAAGACGTTGAATGCTGTCCAGCACCACCACGCGGCCAAGGCCAAGTTTCTCTGTATAAAGTGTTGCAGTAACAGCTATGAAAGGCACGGAGAACAAGATAATTGTGAGTTAGAAACAAGCAATGGATTATCAGCTCTCTTGGAAGAATTTGAGATTGTTAGCTGTCCCAGCATGGCTGCCTCTTTGTATACCATTAAGCAGAAAATTGATGAAAGAAATCTGAGCAGCATTAAGGTGATTGTACCCAGGCACAGGAAGACATTAATGAAAGCTTTTATTGATCAACTCTTCACTGATGTTTACAATTTTGAATTTGAAGATTTGCAAGTGACTTTCTGGGGAGACTCTTTGAAACAGTCCATTGAAATAAACATTATCACAGCTGAAGAACTAAGAGAAATTCAGAATGAAATAGAAACATATTTGAGAAGTCTGCCAGCACTGAAAGGAGAATTAACTCTTCTCACTTCTCCTTTGATCCCAGGTATAGTAACCACTAACTGGTCTTTCTTCAGAGGCAGTTCACCTCTTTCATGCATGGCCATGTAGTATCAGAGGTATCAAGGGATAACCCCTTCAAAGCCACCCTAAATAAATAAATTTGCTTTATGAAAATTTAATATTGAGAAAAATAATCTAGCCCTCCTTTGCAATGAGACGATACTGAAAATCTGCTATTTAAAAATTCTAGGCTGGGTGCGGTGACTCACACCTTAATCCCAGCACTTTAGGAGCTCGAGGTGGGCGGATATGAGGTCAGGAGATCGAGACCATCCTGGCCAACATGGTAAAACACCATCTCTACTAAAAATACAAAAATTAGCTGCGCATGGTGACACATGCCTGTAATCCCAGCTACTGGGGAGGCTGAGGCAGGAGAATAGCTTCAATCACGGAGTTGGAGGTTACGGTAAGCTGAGATCACGCTACTGCACTCCAGCCTGGTGACTGGTGACAGAGTGAGACTATATCTCAAAAAAAAAAAAAAAAAGAAATTCTGAAATTTCAAATCATCAGCACCTTCATAGAAGAGTAAAATTTAAAACAATCAATCTTATTTCTTGGTTAAACAGTATTTACTGTGAGCTATATGCTGTTAGATATAACAAAGCCAGCTGAGACACAACATACCGTTTGAAGAGCAATAATTTCATAGGGAGAGTAAAACAAACACAAAGCAGAATGCAGTAAGAACATATTGAAGTACAAAATGCCATAGAA